TGAGCAGAAAGCAGAGGCTTTAACCCACTGAGCCAACCAGGCGCCCTAGCGGCTAGCCATTCTCAGTGAGATCCTAGATAGAAGTCCCTGGTCAGTGTTCAGTCAGCTACAGTCCCTGGTCAGTGTTCAAAGAGATTAACATAAAGAGTGGTCTTCTGTCATAGGTCAAGTAAATCCTTCAGCACTTTCTACCAAAAGCCTGGTGAGATAACCTGGGTCATTTTCAAGCTCAGAATTGCAGAAGGTGCAATAGGGCTGTTAAAATATTGACTAGGGCTACTACTCCTTGAATCCTGGATAACACGGTAGCTGTGAAACAGACTGAGTTGGTAAATGTTTGTTTTCTTATATTCTGTGTCAACATGGCATATGGACAATCCATGTAAAACAGGGTCGAATTTATGCAGGTGCAGGTTTATAAGGAGAAACAAAAAGAGAAACAAAGCTATCCAGCCTTGCTTTATATCTTAAAAATAAGAAAGTCGTTTGTCAAAACAACATATCTGACTCACTTGATTCTCTTAATGTTACTTTGATAAAAATTTTAAAGATACATTTGAAGCTTTGAATCACTGACGAGATCATAGAAGAAACCTAGACAGTGAGCGATCCCTCTTTGTGAAGCCGAAGACTAGGAACAGATCAACGCACGCTATGAAAGGTCATAAATTACTGTGGATGGTTTTTGTGTAGGTAAAACACAGGGCACCAGATAGTTAAAGAGAGTCCAGGCCCACTGATCGTAATCTATTAGATTGAAAAGCCTTTGAATCCAGTTTATCAAGGAAGAATGTGGACATGTTTTGAAAGAACTCAGCTAATTTATGGATACTGCCATATATCACACTTTGGGATTTAACCTTTCAAAAGCAGGATGGCATATACAAAAAATCATGGTAACAATTTTGCAAATAGTAGTTTGGAATTGGGGATTCTGAATCAAATTATTTTAGAGTGTTCTTCAGTTTTGGAGAGTTAATTAGCTATCCTCTCTGGAGTCATTAAACTCCAACTGGGCAGAATTCTAGAACGGTGCTATTCGAAAAAGAATTCAAAGAGAATTTGTGACCAGATCCTTCTTTTCATTGAAGTCATATGAAGAACACAGTGTTCTGAGCTGGACAAATGCAAAGCACAGTGACTTCCACTGGCATATTTTGTAGTCTGGTTTTTGATGAAAATAAAATGAAGGAGCTGCTTCAGAAACTTAATTCTGTTTTTTTTGTTTTGTTTTGTTTTGTTTTTTCCAGTTGACTCTTGTAAGTACCACTTGGCAGCATATTGAGAGTGAGCAACCTATCTTTCTGCTACCCACATTCAAGCAGTCACATCAGGTTTCACGTCAAGTCAGATTACTTGGAAGGTAGAAAATGATAGAGTTGTCTTTTTTTAAAATTCCCTGGTTTAAAACACAAAAGCAAAACCTTCATAGTGTTAAGATCATAAAAAGTACTTAGGTTATTATTGTTAAATCCCTGCAATATTTTCATCTATTCATTTAATGAATGGGTCATATATGGTGCCATTTTTGTGTGAAGTGGGGTTTGTGTACAGTAGCTTTAGAAAATTGATTTAGATGGGAATTTATCACTTAAGGATGTCTACCTTGTTGATGAGAAAAAAACCAAAAAAATTAATCAGTGGTATTGGCTGCTTGATCAGAATGTTGAATCAAGTCACACTTCGATTTAGTCTACAAGCTGCCCTTAGACAATTGGAAGTTATGGCTATGCATGAATTAGATCAGATTTTTCCTTCTTTGGTTAATGTGCCTATCTATAGATGTATGTACTCTGTAAGGGAATAATTTTCTCACTCCAAATCTGTGAACAAGATTTTAACAGAGCTTTCAATAGTCTCAGCAACTAGTCAATGAGATGAGTATGCCTACCAGAGTGTATTAATCAATAAGAGCTCAAGAGACAATCAGTTTGGGCCTAAACACTCTACATATTCAGATATATATCTAAAGTTATACTACATACATTATGAAGTTCTTTGGTTGGGTAAATAAATCAAGATGGAGATACATGGACTTGACTAATTGAAATTAACCTCTGATATTGACCAGTGTCAGGATAGGTGCCTCTTCCAAAGTCAGATTTGGGATACTCCAAAAAGTAAAATTACTTTTGAACACAGAATGTTAAAAGACCAAAAAGGGAGACTGCCCCTGAGCATTGTCTAAATAGCAGAGTTAGTACATAAATCTAGCACTAGTACTGTATACTAATACTATGATGTTGGAAATAGAAATAGAGAATAGGTTTAATTTTAGGGCTTATTTTGTTACAGTAGGAGTTCAGTAACCACACGAAAACAAAATGAAACAAAAAATGTATTTCTGTTATGTTATGAAAGGCCTTATATCACTATTAACTTCCTTTATGAAAATGGTGGTTATGCTTCTCTGGAAAATGTTTAAGAATAATAGGATTTTCTTAAAGGAATTGTTGAATTACAGCATGTGCTATCAATTACTGTAAATAATCTCTTAAAATCCCACAAAAGAATCCAATTGCTCACAAAGAAAGTGGAAAAGCCATTAAAGTCAGATGTATTAAGAACGAGACCTAATTCTCTATAACATCCGGACATCGCTCTAAAGTCTCATAATTGCAACATTGTCCACATGCTTATAATTAATTTATAGGCTTTGGCAGAGGGTTTCAGATATTGTTTACTTCAGATAATCAGGTTGGGAGGTGATCAGTTCCTTGTTTGATCTACAAGATTATATTCTGCAATTTTGCTCAATTTCACACTAATGCAACACTTAGCAAAAAGACATTTTGAACCATTTTGTCAGAAAGTATTCAGATAAAAATTTATAGGGTTCAAGTACCTACGAAAAATGTTTAAATCCATGTTGATTTTATTTTCCTACTTTAGTAGTAGAAAGCATTTAAAATTTTTTTTGTATTGCCTTTAATAAGAAATTATTGATGATTTTTTTGGTATGATTTCTATTTACAAATTGAGTGACCATGAGCTATCAGAGGGAATAACATCAAGAGGACTTTTCTGTAGGTTTGCCAAATACAAAACCAAATTAAAAAATAACTTAGAGGCAGGTCACCTGGGTGGCTCAGTCCGTTCAGCATCTGCCTTTTGCTCTGGTAGTGATCCCAGCTGCAGTGCTGGGATTGAGCCCCGGGTTGGGGCTCCCTGCTTGGTGGTGTGCCTGCTTCTCTCTCTTCCCCTCTGCTCATCTCCTGCCCTGCCCTATTCATGCTCACTCTCTCTCTCTTTCAAATAAATAAAATCTTTAAAAAAATTACTTAGAGGGGGGCGCCTGGGTGGCTCAGTGGGTTGAGGCCTCTGCCTTCGGCTCGGGTCGTGATCCCGGGGTCCTGGGATCGAGCCCCGCATCGGGCTCTCTGCTCGGCGGGGATCCTGCTTCCTCCTCTCTCTCTGCCTGCCTCTCTGCCTACTTGTGATCTCTGTCTGTCAAATAAATAAATAAAATCTTTAAAAAAAAAATTACTTAGAGGAAAATAATAATTCTCAGTTCTTTAAAATTAATTGTTCTGTGTATAGCTCTCTGAATATAAAAATACATGATCTGTTGCCTTTAAAACCTAGGACCCCAACCTTAAAAGGAATTCAGAACAGTTTGTATATTCCCACAAAGAAAGTGGGAATTTCTCACTGTAATTACTGTGTCAAAAAGGAAGATTGTTTAAAGAAACTATTAATGCCTAATACAAATGTATCAAAGTGAAAAATATTTAATTAAGAAAATTTTGTAAAAGCAAAGTCCCAGCTGTCCTGTCATTATACCTTTACATACATTAGTATGTGCCTCTTAAGAATTATGGATATTTCCTTACAAAGATATAGTTTATATATCAAAATGTAAAATTTGCGGGTTTTCTTTTCCATTTCTCAGACAATTTCTCAGTACATAGTGTCCTCATTACTTCAAAAATAGACCATCCTTTTGGTGAATTATACAATTGTGATTCTAAATATTTCAAAGTGTTGTTTCTTTGTGTATTTATCCATATTTATTAATTTTATTAACTCGGTAGACTTTTAACAATTAGGAAATCAACTTTTTTCGAGAATGTAGGTCTGCTCCCAAGTGAATTTTGTTATTCTAGAATAGATAAAATACAAGCAGAAATTAGCAGTTGAAAGTGATATAATATATGAGCTGTTAAAGAAAGGATTCTGGTTCTGGTTTTATTTCTTACAACTGGATGGATAAAAATTTATAGATATCAAGCTATATGTAAGTTTACCATTCCAGAGTTATGATGGAGATGATTTGTCATAATTTCTGAGCTTCCTGAAATAATCTTCCCTATCGTATTGGATTGCATGAAAATATAAATGAGAACAGTTCACTCGAAAGGGAAATAACAATTTTAATTTTTAAAAAAGTGTGGCACAGTTGTTTTTTAACCAAATTCAGAGACCTTTTTATCTCAAAGGCCACTGTTCATGTTCAATATACACAACAAAAGAAGCACCTGCACTCGTATAGCTAGCTATAAAGTTCACTGCAGTTAACATCTCAGTATTACTTTATATTTTGAAATTCTATTTTTGCTGATGATTTTTCAGTCTGTGTTTTGTTTTGTTTTTTTGGTCCTCCAACAAATCTATTAATTTAAAAAGGGATAGAAAAGCAGAGAATAGAGTCAAACCTGTTAACTTGTTTTAGAGCAACATTGCCAAAATGTGCAGAAGGGCAGTAAATGAAAACCGTCGGCAAAACCAATGACCTTGAAAGCATGACCCATGCATTTAATGTAGTTAGGTTATCTCTGTTCTTTGTGGAGAACCCCCAGTTGGTGGTGGTACTCATAGAACAGAGTGCCACCCTCCACCTCAAGTCAAGAAATCTCATCTCTATATTTGTAAAAGTTCTTCCCACATTTTTATTAAATCTGTACTTGCGCTACATGTCTACTGACATTGGTGGTATTCTTGACTTTAACGGAAATTGATGATAAGCATTATAAGGATTGATTTTATATTTTGGTCAACAGATTTTCCACATGACCTATGACCTTGCCAGTGCAGTGGTGAGAATTTTTAACCTCATCGGCATGATGCTGCTGCTGTGCCACTGGGATGGCTGTCTTCAGTTCTTGGTACCACTACTGCAGGATTTCCCACCAGACTGCTGGGTGTCCCTGAACGAAATGGTTGTAAGTAATTCGTATTCTTTTACACCCTACATAATCCATGTTTTGCCAGAAAGTTCTAAGGGTATGCTAGAATGATCTAATTTCTTCTCCGAAAATGTTCGGAGAAAATTTTGCTTTTGTGGATGTAAAATCAAATGTTCTTTCGCTTTTTCTGCAACTACATTTCATTTACGTGAAATGTTTCTGGGGATGTGTATGTTATAGGATCTATTTTGAGGTATCTTACTCTGTGTATATTGAAGACATATTTTATTTCAAAGCTACATGTACACTCACATGTACGTATAACTGTGGTACAACACTCATGGTACAATGTTCTTCCAAAACTGCCTATTGCTTAGAATATCTCCTTTTTTTCAACTTGATTTTGGCATTTACTGTTCTTGAGACATGCAATTCTAGGTGGTGTTTAAACTTGCAGAGACATGTGCATCAGTATAAATGCAATGAGATATGATGTGCATGATCTTTTCGCTAGGGAAGACAAGGAAACATTCGTGGAAAAGGTAAAGCCTTTATTTACTTTTAATTTTTATTTATTTTTAAATTTGGGTATAGTTGACACATAATGTTACATTAGTTTCAGGTGTACAGTTTACCCTGAAAGATATTTACGTATTTAAAAATCTGTGAAGTATAAATTTGATTTATTTAATTAAGTATATTCATAGTCACATTTATTTTTAAGAACATAGGTTTTAAAAAGAGAACATGTGTTTTGATCTATCTTGTACAATACTTACAAAGAAATTGGAAGTAAATAATGGATGATAAATTTTATGAGACTCACAAAATTTTAACCTTGGCATAAATCAAGTGCCCTCTTTCTTCAAAATGTTCCATGTTAATTTCTGGGCTTATTATTGTAGAAGTGATATGGACATTTTAATAACATTTATTTTTTCTTCTAATAACTATAGCTCAGGCTTTGTATTTGAAGAAAAGAGGAGTTTACATTACACGTTAAGAGGTCCAATCTTTCTTTACTTTCTTCTGGCCGACTTATTTTCCTCCCTCCTTCCTACTCTCCCAACTTATTTTCCTCCCTACTTCCTACTCTCCCAATCCCTGCCTTCTTTATCCCTTTAACTCCTTTCTTTGAGACTTAATATTCACCTGGATCTCTCCTTCATTTCATTCATATCTGTTTAAATGTCACTGCCTCACTGAAGCTAGTGTGTGACCACTCTGTCTAATACAGTACCAAACTGGTTAATATTTTATCTGAAAAGAATTTAATAACACACACATTTACTTGTTGTTTCTATTTCTCTGTGTCCTCTACACAAACTGTCAGTTCCATTAAGTCAAAGAATTTGTCTGTTTTGTTCTTTACTTTATGGTAGTGCCCAGAAGAGTGCCTGACATAGTAGTTTGTTGTAATCTAACCACCTTTATTGAAAGTTCATTTGAGAAATACTGTATTTGTGTTTCCCTACCTAAAAAACAAAGCAAGGTGCAGGTCACTTTTTGAGTCTATGAAGTCTTCTTAATTATAGATCTTTCTTTTTTATTTATCACTGAAAGAAAAAAATGTGAAGACATTATTAAAATATTTTGGCGGGGGTGGGAGGAAGAAAAAGCCACAGCTCTATAGTCTAGCTATTAACTAAGTGTGTGGTATAAAAACACTAACACTACTGTCAAAAGATGATTCATCGCTGACACTAACTACTATTTAAGTTTGCAAATAATTGTTTTAAATTACTCTGAGGTATCTTTCAGAAAAATAGGTATTATCTTTATTAAAAGAGTAAAGGGACTATTTTGGGGTATCCATAAAGTGCATATAGTTGTGTAATTATAATATATGGGAATATACTTCTTAATATATCTAGTGCTAAGCACATTTACTGAAGAAAATTTTTATATCTTGATCATTTTTTAAGTGTGTCTACATGGGTTTGCTTTGTGTGTTTGTACTTAATCTAATGTAGTCAAATTTTATTATATCCTAATGTTATACAAAATACCTTTCCTGAATTTGCAAGTTTTTTTCTTGTATCTTTTCTGAGGGGCAGGTTTACTTATGAAATTGGCTTTTACTTTCTTTCACATTTATTTAACATTATTTTCATGTTTAACTTTAATGTCAAGAGTAGGAAACAGTTAAGTCTATGTTCAACTATAAAGACCAGAAATATATTATGAATATTAGTGATATGAAGGAGATAACCATAAGAAAGACAATTTTTGTATATGTAGAGGATCTCCATGGTGTCCTTTGACCTTGTAGATATTATTTTCTATCTTAAAGCCATTGAATTCTGGAAAACCTTCCATTACAGCAAAACAAAGCAAAGTGTATTTACATAATAAGGGACTTATAAAGAAGTAAAATCCAATGTAAAAAAAAAAACACCCTCCATGTTATCTATCTTGCTTGCTATATATGAGCCCTGGTGCTTTGAAATATGCTCTTATTTGGTCCTCATAGCAACAGAATGAGGTGAAAACTATTATCCCCCATATTACAGTTCAGAAATCTGAAATTTTTAGAGGTTAGTCTAATTCTTCAATAGCACACAGGTTAGTAGATGAATAGAACCAAGATTAGAATGCCTAGGGCTGCCGGGGTGGCTCAGTGGGTTAAGCCTCTGCCTTCGGCTCAGGTCATGATCTCAGGGTCCTGGGACTGAGCCCCACATCAGGCTGCCTGCTCGGCAGGAGCCTGCTTCCCCCCCTCTCTGTGCCTGCCTCTCTGCCTACTTGTGAGCTCTCTTTCTCTGTCAAATAAATAAATAAAATATTAAAAAAAAAAAAATTAGAATGCCTAGCTATCTGACTTCGTAATTTCTGTTCTAAACCTTAGAGTATCTTGTGTTCTGTAGATTGTAAAAATTAGTTAAGAAAAGTAATGACAAGAAATGAATCCTGTTGTCACAGCGCTCCGGTTGCCGTAGTAAGCCATTCGAAAATCAGCATTTGAGCTCTAACACTAAAAAGCAGCAAGATGGATATGAGATGTAGATGTAGAAAAGCAAAATCAAATTCAGAAGGCAAAAAGTGAGAAGCCAGGTCAGGGTAAATGCAGGACATTGTATCGATCATTCTTAGGTATGTGCTTGACAATTCTATGACGTTTGACATTGATACTAAATAATTTATGGTAAAGATCAGGGTGTTGGGTGAATTCCTTATTCCTTCTTTTTCATATTTCGCATTCATAATGATTTATATCCTTAAGTGTTATTTTAAATCCTCCTCACCATATTTTCATTTATATGTATACATATATCTTTTTATATGTATTTTTAATATTTTTGAGACACATTTGCATTTATATCTATATCCTTATCTGCATATCACTAGCTAGTTTTCATATATGTCCTATCACAGGAAATCCAGAGTAATGCTATGACTATACTATATCCGTCACTGGTGATTTGTCCAATATATTTATTCTTATCTTAACTGTTCTAATCTGCCGTTTCTTCTGTAGAAATAGCTTCAGTTCCTCTCAGCGAATTCCTTTGCAGTCTTTATAAATTCCTCATTGGAAGAATTATTTAAATGCTATTTTTTAAGAGTTAGTCACTAGCACATGGTAGGCTACTTGAATTGATGAGGTGAGAGATACTGACTTGACAAATCGGACTTAAACAAGGATTAGTCGTGCTTCTTTTGTGTTGACTATTTCATTCAAGAAATATTTGAATTATAGAATTCTGTCTGAATAAAAATCTTGGATTGGTCAGATAATTAAAGTCTAATAAAATCAGTTCTGAAAATCTTGTCATTCTCATATTTTGTGACTATGTTTCTAGACATAGCACACTAAAACTGTAATAGTTCATTATTGAAGTGATTAGCAGTGGCTGTTTTGGTTTAAGTCATAAAATCATGAAGTGCTCATTTTAAAAGTCTAAGAAAATGAAATTTATGATACATTTGAACACAGTATTAATTTTGACATAATTTAAGGAATGACTTTGCAGAAGGATTTGCAGCTAACTAGTGCATTCCTATAGTAGTGTGTCTCTAGTTTTTTTTTTTTTTAAGATTTTATTTATTATTTTGATAGAGAGAGTACAAGCAGGGGGAGCCACAGGGAGAGGGAGAAGCAGACTCCCACTGAGCAGAGAGCCTGAGGTAGGATGCTGAGCTACCCAGGCACCCTATAGTAGTATTTCTCTAATGGAAGTCTAAAGATTGACTCTCAAGGAGGCACAGGTTTTCTCCCAGCAATCTTGTAAATGTATAAATATATGTTGGTGATAGTTTGAAAGGTTTCAAGGTAAACACATTATGAATCTACAATCATCTGAATGACCTAAATATGGAGTCTGGATTTGCTTTTACAGTTGAAGTACATTGTGCCATATAAAATAATTCTTACTTAATAGGCTCAATAATTAATGATCAATTTATATCAAATGAGGGCTAAATGACATCATATTAAATGCTATACAGAATTTTCACCATAGAGTTGTATTTGTTTCAATAATATAATAATCAAAATAATTTGAGCCAACTCAAGTGCCATTTATTATAATGTTTCATTTTGTTGTGATTTGAAGGACTGTATGCATTACTTCATTTTGAGAGATGCCTTCTAGAAGGCAGGCAATATGTTTTATCAGTATTTACATTCCCAACAGATCCTATGCCAACCTTGCATATGTTGCTAAATAAATACTGTGTTTATACTAAATAGGTAATCATCAAAATTATTTAAAAATTATGTGTAAAGGGGTTATTCTGTTATGCATTTTAAATGTTCTTCCTTGGATAGTTTTTGCCTTAATAATTTGTACATCAAATTATTTCTTCAAAGATATGTGATCACTTGGCCAACTCATGAGCAATATAAGAATACTCAAAATTCATGAAGTTTTTATGAACCATACTAAGAATATCAGAAAATAAGTTATCTAAATGTCTGAAAGGATCTAATTAATATTTATGTGGAGAAAACAAGAGATCTGATTGGAAAATCTAGATTACTACAAAATTTCATTTTCATTTGAAACAGTGTATCTCGAATTATTAGTGTGTTA